TTTCCTGTGCTCGAAAGTTACAGCACTGTGTAATCTGGCTAGTATTCTTTATGTAAATCTGTCTTGACGATTTCAATAGGACAGTGCTAAATCACAAAATTGATGGTACTTGAGATTTTGGAAGTTTTTTTTGGCACTGTAAGAGCAGAATACATTTTTCGAGGGTTTAATAGGCTAGCGACTGACAGCATTAATCCTAACAGAAAACTGCAAAGTCTTAAAAAAAATAAAAAAATTTCGAGACAGAAAATCTGGGAAAAAGCCTCTCATGCACTGGAAGCTTCAAAAAACATTTATCTTCAGCATAAAATTAAAGTTTTGCAACGAAATCGTCATTTGAGTAAAAAATTTCCCTCATTTCGGTGTTTTCTTTTTTTGTTGTTGCTTTTTTCCGGTAAACTCATCACGAATTGTAACTCTTGGATGTGTCATTTCGCAGCCGGGTGATGTATCATTTCATTCCGCCTCACCACTGAATTAGGTTTCTTTCCGGCAAAATCACCACAAGTTTTGACAGGGATTTTTACTTTGTTGTAGAAATTTTAGCATTCTGTTGAAAGACGGAGGCTTTTTTTAGGCGTTAGCAATTTAAACTGCAAAAAACCACATGTATTCAAGTAAAACTGAGGTAAAAACGCCAAAATAGCTTGCATAAATCATCGTAATGCCGGAAATGAAAGTTTCAGCCCCGTGTGCCGAGTTCACCGGTTCCACCGCTCAGTAGTCCGCCAGCTGCAACGACTTCAGCAAAAGCAGGAGCCGTCTCGGCGCTCACCCAACAATTCGAAATGAATGCCCGAAGACACTGGATTGAGGATTCATCGTCACGTAGTGGCACAAAATGGAGCCCAAAGGTTCGCTGATCCTACAAATTTCACTAAAACATATGTTTTTGTTTTACAAATTAAGTAGAGTTGGAGCAATTTGCGCTGCACTGCATTAACAACATCTGGATCAAAGTTTTTGGCAGCTTCCTAAGTGCCAAGTTTTTCTGAATCAAAATTTTTTGTTTTTTCTAATGAAAAAACATGTGTTCCCCTTTTTTTGACCAAAAATTTCATTTCTTTCAAAATACTTACTCTGTAAAAGGATAAGTATGAACTTTATTCAGTGAAACTTGTCAACGAAACAAGTAACAGCGTTTACGAGGGTACCAGCGCGGTTACACATTTTTTAATAGGCTGTTACAGAAGTGCAGTGGAGCCCGATACTCTGGGATTTTGCCCCGTCTTAATTTATAGTTACGATCCGTTATTGAGCTCGGCCTAGGATATCTAAAAGATTTTTTAAACGCTCTGCACTTTTTATGGGACGAGCTAAAAAATTTGGCTTTCTAAAAAAATTTAAGTTTTTTGGCTTGTTCGATTTCAAGCAGTGAAATAAGGCTAACTGCGGCTGTGAGATTGCAGGCGAGCAAACTGTTTAGTAAGTAATATTTAATTAGTTGCTTTGTTTTTCTTAGCTGAATAATCCGTTGAAATTTCTATGTACAGCTTGATTTTGGTTTATTAGCGCAAATTTGGGCCTAGGATGTAGGAGAAATCCAAATGTTTATTTTAATTTTGGGTGCTCACGGATCATATTTCCATAATTTCCGTTTTTTTTTGTAAGCCGACCTCTCTGGGTAGGGACACGCAAAAAACCACATTAAAAAAATGAATGTTTTACAGGGTGGTCCAAAGCCAAAGGAACTGCCGCAGGTACTGCCAACAGTAGAATTCAAAACAACGCCATCTGGAGGAAAATACAAGAAAATTGACTATGAGGTCATTGATGCCAGCAAATCTATGAGTAGTGACGAAAGAGAAGAGGAAAGCTATCGCAGTGTAAGCACAAAGAAAACTTTTGCTCCAAAGTTTACGTGAGAGCCAGGATAATTTTTTGCGCGATGTGAGGTTACATCTCATTATTTGCATCGAGATCTCTTATGCCGATAATCAAATCTGGACGGTCAGGATAATTTTGAATCTTGAATTCCATTAATTTGGATCTCGAGTTTCGCTAGTTATTGTTAAACATTATATATTAGCTCTGAAAGAATGCAATTTTCGGCTGGAAATAGTGATGCATACGTACTTTCTAGCCAAGATCGACGAATCAGTCAACTTCCTCCAAGTGACGTAGCTGCTAACTTCTTTTTCAAATTAGACGTAGCTGTCAACTCCTAACTTATAATATCTGAAGTTATATTGGCACCTAGAAGCTAAATTTAACACTCTGTTAAAGTGCTGGACTGAGGTTATATTTCACTAGAGAATGCCTTCTGTGCAGTTGTTAATCTAGCTAA